TTTGAGTAAAGGTTTAACTACAGCCAGCTTGAAGGCCTGTGGTACATAGCTGATTATTAGAGATAGGTTGATCATATTTAAGATCGAAGAATTAATTAATGGCAGGACTTCTTTGAGCAGTTTTGTAGGAATGGGGTCTAAAAGACATGTTGATGGTTTGGAGGAAGTAATTATTGAAGTTAACTCAGAAAGATCAATTGGAGAAAAAGAGTCAAACTTAACAGCAATGGTACTAAGAGTAGCTGTAGATAATATTACATCTGTGGGATGATTATTGGTAATTTTTCTCTAATGATAAAAATTTTATTTGTGAAGAAGTTCATGAAGTCATTACTAGTTAACGTTAAAGGGATGGTTGGCTTAGGCTGCTGCCCCGCGACCCGGCCCCGGATAAAGCGGATGAGGATGGATGGATTGATGGATGGGATGGTTGGCATCTCTCTTCACTTGTATCCCAGTCATGGAAGCGTTGGAGGTAGTTCATAAGAGATTACAGGATGACACCAACCTCAGCAACAGGACCACTCTCAGCACTGACCAAGTGTGTTTGCTCTTGGAACTGTGTCTTCATCCCACCTATTTCACATACAAGGGTCAGTTCTACAGGCAGAAACATGGGTGTGCCATGGGTTCCCCAGTTTCACCCATCGTGGCTAATTTGTACATGGAAGAAGTGGAAAAGAGGGCTTTGCTATCCTACCCTGGAACACCACCAAGCCATTGGTTCAGGTATGTGGATGACACTTGGGTGAAAATCAAATCTCAGGATCTACCACATTTCATGGATCACATTAACTCGGTAGACCGACACATCAAATTTACCAGGGAGGATATGAAAAGTGGCAGGTTGGCCTTCTTAGACTGTGAGATTTTGAATGGGGGACATCTAAAAGCTGACGTGTACCGTGAACCTACACATACGTATTTAAGGTTTGACTCTCATCATCCACTGGAGCATAAAGGTGGTCTGGAAATGGAAATGGAAAAAATGGAAAACCCATCTGGAAACTACAACACAGAGAGAACACCATCCCCACAGAATAGGGGTGGAGGTGAACCCGAATACGGTATTCGGAAATGCACAAATAATGTGTTTTTTACGAATACTTATTTCACACAAATACTTTAAAAAAATATTTGTATTCGGGAACAAGAAAAAATGTATATCAGAAAGATGAGTTTCCTTATGAGACCACAGTACATGACCGGATGAGTGAGTGAGTGACGTGCAAAAAAGTGACTGACACCGGCTGCTCCACACAGCAACTGAGACGGCACAGCTGAGTGATAAAAGACTGAACTGCATCACTATTTTTGTTGAATAGATTGTTTCGTACCTTAACTGGGTTTCAGAGGCAGTTTATAACTTTGGTGAAGATCGGGAGATTAATCAGTTATGCTGCATTACTGACGTTATGCAGTCGGGCGCTCTCATGTTCGCTCTGTTTATGGAGCTCTGTTAGCTCGGCAATTTAGACCAGCGGCCCCCAAGCCCCGGGCCATGGATCGGTACTGGTCCATGAGTGGTTTGGTACTGGGCTGCGAGAGTTGAGGTTTGGGTGTGAAATTTATGTTTTTCACGGGTTTTTATTGTTTTTTATTGTTATTATTAGAGATGACAGGATACCACTTTTTATGTCTGATACCGATACCGATATCATAAATTTGGATATCTGCCGATACCGATATGAATCCGATATAGTGTTTTTTAATCAACAAAACTGTTTTTTAAAATATCTTGCTGCATTTTGCAAGTCTGCAAGTTCATACTCAAGTTTAAAACAACAACTACACTAAAGCTATCCTGTTATACCTGTATACAAAAAAAATATTTCATAGTTCAGCAACACTGATCAATCTAATAAACTTAGACCTACACCATCCTCCCTATTCTGGTATTTTAAAGAGTACTTAGTGTAAATATTAAGCAACCTAACTAATAGGGTTCCGACTCCCAGCAACAACAAAAATAAAAAAATAAAAAAATAGGGAACCACCCCTCACGCTCCACCTCATGATGTTTAATCGACGTAATCAACCTTAATTTGATGCAGTGTGAAAAAAAATGCACAGAAATCAATCTTTCTTTCTTTCTTCAACAAAATTGCAGACTGCACAGATGGTACCTTCCCAAAGGAAAAAGTACTATAGCTTACTAGGGTATATATATTAGACTTAATAGTCACTATATACAGTAATGGACTTCTATTCATTTTACATCAAATTAAAACTTTGGGTGTCAGATAATTATTTATTAAAAGCTCGACATTTTAAATGAGAATAAGAAAGAAAAGTATGTCTTTGTGCCCCCTTTTCCCAGTTAATGCCCTATCGGCCCCCCTGGCTAAACTTTGCTAGATCCGCCCCTGCACAGTTACCAGCGTCAGCTACGTAGAAAAAGATCCTGGTGTAGAAAGTAATATTAAATAAATTCTAACAACAGCTGATCAAGCTTGTGCTGCTGTTGTTCAGCCGCTGGTTTCCTCTTTCTGGTGCAAAGTGGACCAAAAACAAACAAGAGAGACGGAGTCGCGACAGAAAAGCCGATCAGCTGATCATTTAAGCAGTTTCACGATTGAAGTAGCAGCAGGAGAGCGAGAGGCAGTCGCTCGTTAAGCTTAACGTGGGAATGCTTTACAAACATTCAGAGATGGACTTACACACTTGCTTTACTTCTCTCGGGATAACTTTGTCAGAGATGAAATGCCGGGTTGCTAGCGAAGCTCCAAATGCTATCCAGACCACCGACAGGTCCCGCATGCCACAGCCGCTCTATCACCTGATGCATACTGCTCCGACGTGCTAACGTTCTGAGGTGAGTTACAGCGTGTTGCAAGTTTTGTGAGGTGCTTTCGTGATATTTAATGGATCGGATTACATTTTTTATTTTTCCCGATATCCGATCCAGTAATTTAGGTCAGTATCGGACCGATACCGATACGTAATATCGGATCGGTCCATCTCTAGTTATTATTTAATATTTTATAATTAATTATTTTTTTTACTCAGTTGTATATAGAATTTGTATTCCATTTTTATCCTATTTTCTATTTTATTCTATATTATTCCACTGTATAAAGTATTTTATTTTACTTTATTGTATTCTGTACACGGTGGCAGCACGGTGGCATGGTGGTTAGCACTGTTGCCGCACAGCAAGAAGGTCCTGAGTTCAATTCCACCATCAGGCCGGGGTCTTTCTGTGTAGAGTTTGCATGTTCTCCCCGTGTTTGCGTGGGTTCTCTCCGGGTACTCTGGCTTCCTCCCACCATCCAAAGACATGCAGCTTGTGGGGATAGGTTAATTGGATAATCCAAATTGTCACTAGGTGTGAATGCGCGAGTGAATGTGAGTGTGAATGGTTGTCTGTCCCTGTGTGTTAGCCCTGCGACAGACTGGCGACCTGTCCAGGGTGTACCCCGCCTCTCGCCCTATGACAGCTGGGATAGGCTCCAGCGCCCCCTGAAAAGGATAAGCGGAAGTGAATGGATGGATGGATGTATTCTGTACAGTTGTGTACAGTATTTTATTCTTATTGTATTCTAATTTTTGCTATCTAACTTTTGCACTGTCCACTTCCTGCTGTGATGAAATAAATTTCCCACGTGTGGAACTGATAAAAGTTATCTTATCTTATCTTCATTAACTCAGTTTCCCTGGGTCTTTTACTTTCAGCGCTGCAGATGAAACCAAACTGTTATGTATTGTGTGCAAAAGTCAAATCAGCAGAGGCAGAGATATCAAACATCTTACAACATCTGCTATGCATAATCACCTGCACTTAAAGCATCCTCTCCTGGTGCTGTCTGCCAACCCCCCCCCCACCAGCACCAGTTCATCATCACAGCCATGTTCTGCCCCTGCAAGTCAGTTTCCCTGTCTGTTCAGCGTCCTCCAACAAGGACGGGTGGTGGTGGAGTTCATAATGTTCACAATGGTACTTTATTAGTTGTTGGTTTAACCATGGGTGAGGCTATTATGTTATTTTCTTTTCAATTACGTTCCTTCTTACATGTTCATTGTTGGATTTATGGAAGAACATCAACTAATATTGCATATCCATAATTATTATAATGGATATGATTAAAGAATACTTACATTATAATGTTAATTAGAAGTGTAACGCAAAAAAACCCGATTTTTACGCCTATTTTGAATTTTATTCAAATACATTTGCAAATACAAATACTTTTCCCTCCTCAACAAATACAAATACAGATAAAAATACCAGCTGCTTTTCACATCTATACCACAGACACAGCAGCCAGTGAAGCATAAGAACATCACATCAAGAAGGCCCTGAGTAAATGTGGTTATCCCAGCTGGACATTTGTCAAAGCTGAGAAGGCGCCTAAAGGAAGCTCCAGGATGATCCAGGAGAGAAGGACAACCGCTGCTTAAGTGAAAAAGCTTAGTGATCCTGTATATGCCAGGAGTATCGGAACAGTTGAGATGCATTTTCTCTAAACACCGCATCTCCATGGCTTTTAAATCGGGTCCCCGACACAAACAGAGTAACATAGTGTGCAGGAGGATTGCCAGGATCTATACATCAGGGAAACCAAACAACCTCTGGCTAAGAGGATACACCTAAAGGCCAGTGGACGCTCTTTCAATGATGAGGATGTAACATCCTGGACAGGGAGGAACGCTGGTTTGAGCGCGGAGTCAAGGAGGCCATTTACGTGAAAAGGGAAAATGCTCCTTGATCAATTTGAGACTTTTATATTTGCATATAAATGATCAAGGAACTGACCTCACAGCCCATTGTTCATACAGTGGGCTGGTTTCATTTTTTGTGCAAATGTACTCTTTATAAGATTGGGGGAACCTGCAGTCAGCTGAGACTGAAGAAGTCACTTGGATGAATGACGAACAGAATGAATGATGAACAGAATCAACCTTTTGGGGATTTCTTTACATGGATGATTAAGCAGGCATCACGACATAATTCAGCCAAAATTTCATGTTTCGTGTTATTTTGTTTACCCCTTACTGACTTGTTTGAGTCTTGACTTTTTCCAAAATCTTCTTTGTGACTTCCAAAGCATCTTCAAATTTGTATTTGCTGATCATCAAATTCACTGTCTCTGTGTTATCAGCCGTCTGAAGATCAGTCTTTGGGATTACTGGTAAACCGCCCAGTAACTGAGGTTTCTGTAGATACCACTTAAAATATTTCAGTTCCTTTTCTCCCAAATCTCCCAGCGTTTTCAGAAGTTGTGTCTGAGCAGGTTCCTCCATCTTTGAACTGTGAAAAACACAAAATGACTCATTTATAAACAAAGAACACATCAAAGTCAGTACGTTTTTTTTCCATAAAGTTGATCCAGTCAGTATTCCTCTTTACACAGTCTTCAATGTTTGTTAGGGATTAGTTAGAATCTTCTGATCTTGGCTGATTAATTTCTTGAAGTTTATATTAAGTGAGAGATACATCCACCACTTCATTTTCTTATCTGCATTTTAAATTCAGTCTCACAGAATGAGAGGGAAATGAATTAGTAAATCTGATTAATTTGTTTTGAAAATGTAAGAAATAGAAAGTACAGATATTTGTTTAAAAATGTAGGGAACAAAAGTAAAAAGTAGTCTGAAAATAAAAATACTCAAGTACAGATACCTGAAGTGCCTTAAGTACAATAATTATTATTTGTGCCTATGGCAAGAGGCACACTTAATAACTCACCCCAGAGTTTTGAGACAAGCTTCACAAATGTTATATCATTTTGTGCGGCTGGATCTGGAATGGTGTACTATGACTTTTGGGGTTTATGACTTTTATACTTTTTTAAATATTAATATTTTAGTGCAAATTTTGGCCCATTGTCATGATGGAAAACTCCATATCCCACAATTCATAGCACACCTCTGCCGCCATATCCCACAATTCATAGCTCACCTCTGCCAGTCAAACAATGGAGCCCACCTCTTCGTTTTATATATTGCTTTTATCAATGTTTCTAGGTGACAAAATAAACTTTTAAGATATTTTCAGGCAAAAATGTAGCTGTGTAAACTTAAAGTATCTGCTCGTTTTATCAAGACATCCCATATTAGCAACAGTGCTCTGACGATGTTGCTGCCATATGGCAGCTAGCCGGCTAGCTAGCGCTTGGCTGAAAAGCACCAGCTAGGGCGACTCTCTCTCTTGTTTCACCTCCCGGGTCTCTCACAAATACTCGCACAGACTCGGAGTCACATTTTCGTTTTTATGGGCCGATGATTCATTTTAGTAATGGTATAAACAGTGAAAGGTGGTGGATTGTCCAGATGCTGGTCGATGTGCAAAAACAACTGAGTTGTTTGGTGGTGGCTAACGCGGAGCTCCAACAGAGGGCAGCTAGCCACCGGTGTATGACAGAATGGACATGCAGGAGCCGAGCGACCGGGCCTGGCTTACACCGAGAGCGGTTCTCTGTCTCGTTTCACACCCCCCTCTCTCTCTCTCGCGCCGCCGGTACGAGTGTCCGGTGAACTGAATGTCAGGTAAGACGTTATGTATATTTTCGTTGTGCTGACTTTTTACAATCAGTTAAAATAAGTCATACTGCGCGCTAGCTAGCATGACAGACTTTCTATACAGCTGGGTGCGTGCTTTGTTACTGATGGTGAACTTTATTGTATTCATAAGGTTAGTTAGTAGAGTTGCCAAACGTCCCGTGAAAAACGGAATCGTCCCGTATTCAGAGAAAATATTACGTATTTCGCATTGAGCTGAAAAGGAACACAGTTTGTCCCGAACTTCAGCTACAATGAAACAAAGACACAAAGCTGGAGTTATTCTGTCGTTACGCTGCACAGCTGCCTCTTCTTCTCTCATTCTCTCCCCTCCCTCTCCTGTTGCTACTTCAATCATGAAACTGATCAATGATCACCTGTTGTTGCAGACTGCTGAGTTTGCGTCTTTTGCTGGGACTTACATCAGCTTTTCTGATGTCTCATCTCCTTATCACTTTGCGGCAGAAAGAGGAAACCAGCGGATGTTGCACTAAACAACAGCAGCACGTTTAAACTTGATCAGTTGTTGTTAGAATTTATTTAATATTACTTTCTAGTATCAGCTGGATGGTCAAGACAATGGGTGGTCAGAAGAAAAGGAAAAGGTAAAGGACAGAGGGACAGAAGATAACCACCCATCATCTTTGTAGCTGACAGCTGGTAACTGTGCAGGGGCGGGTCTAGCAAAGTTTTGCCAGGGGGGCAGGTGTGGCATTAACAGGAAAAGGGGGGCACAAAGAAATACTTTTCTTTCTTATTCTCATTTAAAATGTCTCACTTTTAACAAATAATTATCTGTATCAAGTTTTTATGTCAAATCTATAGAAATCATACATATACCAACAAGACTGTGTACATCACTGTCACAACAGCGGTTGTTTTCATTCAAAGGCTTTATGACTTTTCCTATTATACCTGGTGGGCCGGTCTCTAATCCCTCCATATTGTGGCCAATCACATGCGAGGATAATAGAAGTAATAAATGCATGAACTAGTTTTTCAGCATCACTCTGAGACAGGATATTTCTAATTTTAGAGATTTTGCACAAATGGAAGAAAGCATTCCTACATATTTGTTTAATATGGGCATTGAAGGATACATCCTGTTCAAAAATGACTCCAACGTTCCTCACAGTGTTACTGGAGGCCAATGTAATGCCATCCAGAGTAAGAATCTGGTTAAGTAAAGGAAAAACATGTTGCATTTGCATTTGCAGTAAAGAAAAACTGTTAGAACCTGTTTAATTTCTGAGAGCTGCAGTGGTTCTGATAAAGAGTGAGCAGTCTGAGATGTCAGTGAGCAGTAACAAGGAGAAAATGTTTGCTGCCTGTTGAACAGAAACACTTTCCAAGACAATTGAAAGCTGAATGATCAGAGACACTTACAGCAGTGACGCGGAGTCCTGGTTCTCCTCACAGATCCAAGAGTTCACAGAGTGGAGCTGAAGACTTCACTTCACCTGAGCTGGATCACCTCACCGGCAAACACTGACACAATAAGTCTCACAACTTCCTGTCGAGCACAGCTGGCTCCACCTCAGTCTCTAAAACCTGAATGTTGACTTCTTGGAACAAACTGGTTTGATCTGTTTGTGTTTCCAGTTAAAGGGAGGGACGGTGTCACTTACACACTTAAAACTGTTTTATAAAACACTTGTGAACAAACACTGGAAGAAGACATCCAAAATCCAGCACTTGGGATCTGTTGTGGTACAAGTACTGCACCATGTGGACAAGAGATATTTTATTCTGTATTCCTATGGTCACAGTTATAATCAGAATTATCACTGATTAATCATTTACCATTGTTGAATCAGTTGACAGAATAATCTTTGAATCACATCTATGTTAATCTGAGCAAGATATCAATGTATACAGAGTATCAGCACTTTAATCAGTCTATTGTTGTTCTGTATTATTATTTCTATCTGCTTAAGCTGTTGTCCATCAGTGTATTTACACCTCTCGATCTGGTGGGTTCAGCAGGGCCTGTTCCAGTCACTTGGACATATTCAGGCCTTTAACAACATGCACACCGTTATGTAATTCACGCACGTTTACATACACACTTAATAAGAACAGAAAGGTCGTCTTAGGACAGTCTAGAGCTACACTATCACAAAATGCACAATTTAATACACACTTGTTTTTCTCTAAAGTAGCAGTTGAGGTCCATATAAGGAGAACTTTTTGAGTGCGAGGAACTGTTATCATTTCCAGTAAGATCTAACTGTGTGACGTCATAATGACTATAAAGCTTTCTGTCTTTGTGCAAACGAAGAAGTCTGGCTCTTCCCACACTGTAATGTGTGTTTTAATAAAATGATCTGTGCTGACCCAGCTGTATACCAGTCGTAGTCTCTTCCTCAAAATCAGAACCATGACAACCACCACTGAGTTAGTGTTTGTATAAATGTGGTGAAGCAAAGCCAAAAAGAAAACCCCACCATCGTAAAAATACTTATTGGATAAATAATGAAAGAACCAGCACAGCATACCAAAGAAAGAAAAATGAGGTCAGGGCCTCAGACAGAAATGATAAAGATATAAAACATGACAGTTGTATATGAACACAGGTCTGAACAGGTTGGCCCTGATCTGCTCATTAAAATCTGCATTATCTCGCTTTTTAATCTTTAATCACTGGTGAAATAAAGCTGCTTTGTTTGATGATGATTGATGTGGTTGTGTTTCCTGCTTTCAGTCTTCCAAGGAAATTTTCAGACTAGAAATACTAGAAACCGCCTGCAACACAGTTTCAGTTGGCAGCGCCCCTGCTCTTTGTGAAGCAACAACAACATGTTATTTAACAGATCTGTAAAAAGACTAAAACAAACCAAGAGTTTAACTTCAAAACTGAATTAAACACATTTTAATTCGGACTTTTCAAAGGTGTCAGGGTTACTTTGTCCATAGTTTAAAACATATTTCCATTCTTCTTTATCTATCCTGGGAGTTTCTGCAAAACCTGAATGAGCAGAAGAATGTTCAGTTACAGCTCCAGGCTTCTCAGCTTTAACCCCTGCATGAGTGACAGTCAAGTATCACTCCTCAGGCTCCTTTCAGACTACGTGGCTTGCTCAACTTGTTGGTGCAAAAAGGTGATTAGCTGAAAACTTGGCATGTCTCAAAATGGTGTGCAGTGTGTCCTTAAAGATCTGAGAAAGAATAGAATAGAGTAAAATAGCTTTTTATCGTCATTTACAAATACAATGAAAGTTTGAGTGCTCCACACCAACTGTGCCAGGATAAAATATAAATATTAGAAAGCTCTGCTGACAATGACACACCCGTTTTCACCCCTGGGCCGTGTGATTAGGCAGAGGATCAATAGTGGCTCCACAACCCTCTTAGGGACACTCCCAACAGGCCTTAAAAATCTGGGACTCTCCACCAAATGTTCTCAGAAATGAAGAAGCTTCTCAGACAAAAATTAATGACGTTCAGTCTTTTCCTTCCAAGCTCCTGAGATCACCATGACCTGGGTGACTGAGAACCACAGACATCAATAAAACCACACATGAGTGATGGTAACTGGTAAATATTAACGTTTAATAAGTTGAGTTCATGTTTTATTAGGGATGGCACGATACCACTTTTTTTATGTCCGATACCGATACCGATATCATAAATTTGGATATCTGCCGATACCGATATAAATCCGATATATCTATTTTTTAAACTGTTTTTGTATAAGTTCAAAGTCAAATTTAAAAAGACAAAACACTAAAGCTATTCTCTTA